TGTGTCTAGCTGGGAGATGAATCTTTCCTCTCTGTGTCCCAAAGAATGTGTGATTGGTATCATTGTTCTTAAGTTCAGGATACTTTTATAGATAGATTTCTGCCCATGAAATAGCATATGACACTCAGTCACTATAAAGCTCTTTATAAACCGAGAGAACTACTAATACTCATTAGATAAATATATTCTCCAAATTCTGGTTTTGTTATTGCACCATTTTCTTAACAGAGCCATAGAGCATGATTTTGATGTTCTATCTCAAGGGAAGGAAGTGTAGGAAAATGTATTTTAATAGGTTTCTACTCCTAACTGTAAAGTGGGTTCTTATACATATTCCTCAAATGTTTGTAAATGTGAAAACTCAATAAGCATATATTTTTAACATTCTATATAATATTAGAAGTTGCCATAAAAATAATTATGACCAGAATTACTTTGAGGAGCTAAATATCTCTGAAAGTGTAAATTGAGGGTTTCTAAGGACTGAGAAGGAAAGAGATCAAGGGAGAAGTAACAGCAGAGAGGTCAAGGACCTTGGTACATTGGTGTTGTAGAAGAGTAAGTGGAACACTGGTGTTGTAGGAGTAAGCGGTATAAAGTGTTAGAGAGAGCTCTATGTCCAAGCCTTATCTCAATCACAATGAAAGCAGGTCTAACCCACAACAAGCAAACTTAAAAATGTGCCTGTCAAAGAGGCAGGCTGGGGTTGTCGGAGTGTAGGAAAGAACCTAGGAACAATGGCCGAGGGAAGTTGACATTGGTGTTGGGACTGGGGCTGGAATATAATGTGCCTATATTCAACCATGAGTAAGTTTGCAACTCATGGCGCCTTAATTTGCTCGAGCGGGCCCAGTAACGTCTCCATTGTGAGACTTGTTACTGTGTTTGGCATATCAAATACGTCACGGGTAGCTTGCCAGGCTTTGCCGTGCGGGTGAGATATGCTCGGCAACAGTTCTATATAAGGACTAGTTCAAAACTGAGTGAAAAAACCCCAACTCAAACTTTAGGCAGAAAATGTCTCAAATCCCCAACAACAACAAAAAAAAGGACACTGATGTGCTTTATATAGGTCATTTGTCCACTCCATGGACCAATTACTTTTGCTGGGTTATGGGATACCATGATTGGTCCAATCAGATCATCTTATGAAAAACTAAAGCGAAGAGATAAATGAAGAAGTACATTAGAACCATATACCATGTGGAGTACTCTCAAACAAAAGGCAGTGAATAGTGTTTCTTAACATGGGATATAAAAATAAAATTAAAAGCCCTGGGTCCTTGTTCTGGCATTAACTATCCTTGTGACTCTCATCAGGTTGCTTGTTCTATGAATCTTGGTCTCCACATCAGTTAAACTCAAGAAGACCACTCATAAAGATGTAAAAAAGGAGGAGATAAACATGCAGCATACTGGCTATGCATAGTAGCTGTTCAATTATTGAAATGATAACTATTCAAGTGACTACCTTTCGGCAACTCAAAAGGCTGGGGGAAAAAAAAAACAACTGAAAACAACCCTAATGGTCAAGGTATTAGACTACTCTCTGAGGATGAAAGAACACAGTCCCTGTCTGTCCTCATTGGACTTTGAAGTGTTTCCCTTTAATGAATTTAAGTACCAATTACTGTGGCTGATACACAGCTCTAATTTTCGTATATTAAAGAGATTCAGGACTTCCTGGCAAAGGTAGGCCCTGTTGAACATGCCAAGGAAGCCTGGCAATCCTATCTGCATTCCACCTCATAACACTGCAAAGTTGGTATTATCTCCATTGTATGATTAAGAAAATTAGGCCTCCGATACTCTGATTCAAGACAAAAATGCCAGGACTGAGAACCAAGCCATAATTCAGGCCCAGGACCTTTTAAGCACTCATTTTTCTCAGTGACAATGTTAGATCTAGGTTCCAATTCTAACATTTTAGAGCTTTTTTGGTGTCAGAAATTTGTAATTTACACTATGACATGGGGCTGAAAATGTCCACTCTTGCTTCCAAATGCTTTATTAAATTTCACTCTTTTCTCCGAAAGGACTAAAGTAAGAAATCCTTGTCAATACCATTATCTCAGCTCTGCCTCAAAACCATTGAAATTGGAAATATCTCTCCCTCTTCAGTCTTTCACTTTATCCCTCCATCCTTTGTTTTCTTTTAATCATGTAATACTGTCTTGTCCAGATTAAATGGCACCTATAAATCTTCATTCCACAAATGACACTAATTATCTTTGCTCTGTCCACAGCCAATGATTCCATCACATTATGGAGTCTCATTTACTTATTTGAAGGACAACTCTTTAAACAATAGGAAGAAAATCTGAACTATTTTGAACTGCAGGTTTGCTATATTGTTCTAGTCAAGAGTTGAGTCTCAGGAACTTTAAAAATCACTACAAATGAAAAATTATTTTAGTTTCCTCTCCCAAGTCCCTAATAGCTTTTACTGGGTCATTTCATTAATCCAACCTAAAAAGTCCTTGAGCAGGGCACATGGCTTTCTGATATGCTTAAGGCCCTTTGTTTGCTCCCTGCATTATAAAATAAAAAACTTCAAATATTTCATTTACATACGTCATGACCACATATACTTATAATATACTAATTTATCTGCACTGTTACTCCTTTAAACTTAAAAAAATAAACCATACTCCAGAGACTAGGAACATTAAGATATAACAATTGTCACTGCACTGTGGTAGCATATATTGTTATTTGGATTTGGGAGGCTATACCAGGCAGTACTCAAGGGTTGCTTGCAGCTTTTTGCTCAGATAAACGTACAGTATAGGCTATCAAGCCTGGGACTCCCATATACAAAGTATATGCTCCAGCCTTTTGAGTCATCTTGGTTTCTAGCTAAAAACCATCAAAGTTTGAAATTGATGGGGCTGGGGTGATAGTATGGTGGGTAGAGTGTCTGCCTTGCACACCACTGACCCAGTATCAATCCCCGCCATCCCATATGGTTCCCTGAGCACCACCAGGAGTAACTCCTGAGTGCAGAGCCAGGGTAGTAACCCCGGAGCATTGCCGGCTGTGGCCCAAAAAACAAAACAAAACAAAACAAAAAAGTTTAAAACTGGTGATAAAAATACACAGCCCCCCTATTCTCACTACAGTACAAATTTAAACAAAAATAGAACAAAAGATAGTATACAATGCCATGAAGTTTTAATACAACTGAAACTAAGTTAAACTCTCTCACTGGATAACAGGCTGATACCGTCAGCTATGGAAAACTGGACAATATTTCCTGGGATACAGTTTACAATTTTCAACTTCTGAATTTTTCAGGATAGGGCCTACCTTAGGTATTCCTTAGCACACAACAGATTCTAAAACTACAGGCCCAAGGAGAAGTTCATCTTAAGGCAATCAGAGCACAATTTGAACTGGCACAAGCCACTTAAATAACCATGACTACCCAATTCCATAGCTTTCCACCCGGTAACTGAAGCTAACACATACACTCTACAAGTTTGCAAATGTGTGAAGCAGGATGAAGTATACTTGTTGCATCAACTGCTAACTTTTCTGGCATCTCACTCTCTTCCACCAAGTAGAGTCTAAATTGTGAACTGACTTTATTTAAGCATTAATCCTGTAGAGCAGTAACAATGATGTTACAAGCAGCTTCTACCAAGTCCCAAACATTCATAACATCTATGCAGGTATATATATCTGAAACAAGTATCAAAAAATGATCATACATGATACGCTGATAGTTTCTATTCTACCTGTGTTTGTGAGAGCAGTGTGGGTGACAATCTGCATTTTGCAACAGGTTAAGAAAAAAAATCTATAGTTATGTCAATTAATTCCTCTATGTGACTTTCCAATTACTAAATTTTCAAAACGAAGCCCTGTCTACAATATGGCTCCAAACAATTTCTATCTCCATGCTCTACACTGTCTTTCTGCTTTCACCAAGCCTTGACCTAGAACAAGAAATTCTCATCTCATCAAAACTCTCATCTTAAAAAAGTCCCTTTCCAGAGAAAATGACCCAAGACAATACACTGATTAATATATCCCATCAGGTGGAAGGGAGTAGAGATCAAAAAGACCGAAAGGCATTCTAGCCATAGATAATTAAGAGGTAAAAATATGGGATATATAGTTGAAAGATAGATGAATACTACAAATAATGAAACTATTTTTATAGAGATTTCTTCTTATTTATACATAATTTAAACCAGGCTGCTTATAGATAAGAATGACAACAAGAAGCATTATTAATTACACAATTCCTAAAGCTAGTAATTTTAGTTAAATACTTGCACATTATAACCTTTCTGCAAAGACCACTAACAAACAATGCCAAAATTTTCAGTTTTCACACAGCCTGAAAGCCAAAACAAGCAACCCCTTTGCTATAGTTATTATCTCTGATGAAGGCAAAAGAATTTACTTAGACAAATAGCTTTCATAATTTTACCTAAAAATAGAACCGTTCATAAATTTTCTAAACTGTTCTCCCCTGCTGCAGACAATCCTTGATCTCTGATTGTAAAACTTTGCAAACTTTGGCATGTATTAATACTATTTTAAAGTTACTGAAAACCTCAATAAATTTAGCATGTTCTCTGAAATCTGCAGTCTTCTCATTAGGAATGCTTAAACATTTAGATCGCAAGTTGGAATATCAGAAAAATTTTCATCCTTACAAAGGTTGTATAGTTTCCACATGGCAAGAAACCGAGAAGAAAATCTAAACATTTGGAGTATAAAAATACTTCAAAGCACTATGAACTTTGGACTTAGCACACTTTGGTAAATTTGAGTAGTTTCAACTGCAGGAAAAAGAGCAGGGCTGTGGTAAAAAAATTAAGATGATTTAAGCTGTTTCAAATCTTCCCCTTTCCTGACATCAACAGAAGATTTATAGTTTTATTACAGTAACAGAATTGTTGTAGTGAGATCTACACACATATACAGAATTATTATATTTAAATTCATATAGAACAATATTTACATATTTAAGTTACATTTCTGAAGTTAGAAGATGAAGTACAGCTTGAAGTTTACAACAAAGAGAAGTACACAGACAAAAATAGTTAACAGTAAGAATGAACTGTCTGTTCTTAAGACAACATGTGGAACCTCTTTGTCAGAAGGCTACATCTTCTTAATGTGATTGTCCAAATCATTAAAATATGGGTGATTCAATGCCATCTTGCCAGAAATTCGCTTGGCTGGATCATAGACCAACATTTTCTGGGGAGAAATGAAAAAAATTTAAAAGGAAAAAGGCTTTTAAGAAATGAACTAATTTTTTTTAAATCCCCTAAAGCCTTAACTGCTAACATATTTTAATTCATCTTAATGAAAATATACCTAAGTCACCATTACTACACAATTAGCTACCTCCACACTTCACAATCTACCTCTAAAATAACCTATTCTTGCTATAATGGTTTAAAACAAAAGCATAAAGAAATTATCTTTTTAAACCAAGACAGATTTAAGAAAGATATCCAGCTAAGCAGATTCATTTCAAATTAAACTGGGCTTCTGAGTTACTTTACAACATTCGTGAAATGGTCGCATTTAATTTTTGCATTTTCTGACATACTTTCCAGAAATTTTGAAGTAAAATAAAAAGAACAGAGTAGGGTGTGTAAAGATAGTTAAAATGAGTCACTGCATGAACTATGATAAAACAATTTAGTAGTAAGGTTAATTTATATATTACTAGAAAAATTTGAATGAAGTTTAATCAATCCTAAATTTTATCTTAAAGAATATTTTTAACCAAATATAACATAAACAGCATGTATTATATATATATAACCAAAGGCAGAACAGATAAAGAAAATCTATCTTATAGCTAGTTAATAAGCAGACTAGAATAATTTTACAGTCTAGTTACCGCTTGTATTCTTATTTTTGTAATATTGTATTGCATTTAGCATGTATCAAAATGTGTAATCCTCACAAAAAAAGTATTAGTTCCAGTTTACAAATAACGCTATTGAGGCTCCAAGGGGTTTAGTAACAAGCCAAGACCATAAAGCATAATTTGAGACCTTTGATTTACAGCTGTAGTTCTCAACTGGGTGAGACTTTGACCCTCAGGGGCTACTTGACAATGTCGGCAAAGATATTTTTGTTTGTCACAAGTATGTGAAATGTGCTACTGGCATAAGGCAGAGAATTGGGATGCTATTAACTATCCTCTGGCAACAATAAAAAATGTTCATAATGGCTATACTAAAGGAACCCTAATTTATAGTCTTTTGTTTCATCCCCTGAAGTGAACTTCTGTGTTCAAATATTACACTAGTTTGACAGATGTGGGTCCAGAGTATGGAAGGCCTTTTAACTCTAATGAACAATATTTATAAGCCAAAAATCGGAATGGCAACTGGAAAATATGAGGTGAATTTGATGGCAGTGGCACAATGATTTATAAACCGTTAAAGGGTTCCAAAGAAACCCAATTAGAGGCTGTATATCATGACAATAGCAACAGATTTTTCTTTTTTCCCTTCGATTATTTACATGTCAAAACGTGTTTTTCCTGCAAACATTACCTGAGATTCATAAAAATAAGTTCCTTTAGATAGCTCAATGTTTAAACACTTTTAAAACAATCTACTTGAAGCAGGCCTAAAGTTGTGTGTGTGTGTGTGTGTGTGTGTGTGTTTGTGTGTGTTAGAGAGAGAGAGGAGAGAGAGGAATATCTTATTTTAAAAAACTGGGAAAAGAGGTGTCCCCCGGACGCCAGGAGACAAAGCAGATCTGAGCCTCTCTGCCTCTCCCTTTCCGCCACCCAAGCCGAGCTGGTCTCTTCTCCCCACCCAGTCTTTACTCCCCAGACACACAACGGGTATCCATGGGGGTGTGGCCACTTTAGAAGTGGGTGTGGCTTTTTAAAAGTGGGCGTGACCTAATTTTGGGCCAGCAGTCACTTATGCGGCCGCAAGTACTTTACTCAAACCAAGAAATCTAAGCCCTACACCTACACACCAACACGAAGAAACAACGCAAATCTCCGCCACAGGGAGATGACCAGGAAACAAGTCCAGAAGCCTCAGTAGGTGCCAGCCACCTTAGGGACCTCTCTGACAAAGAATTCAGATATGAAGTCATGAAGATGTTCAATCAACTCAATGAAACAGTCAGACAGATATCCAGTAAACTGAAAGAGGACATGAAAGAAACAATCGATCACACAATCGACAAAATACAGGAAGAAATGAGAGAGGAAATTGGAAAGCTTTGCACAGAAATGGCACGGATCAGAGATTCCATAGATGAAATCAAAAACTCTATGCCCTCAAAAATAGAATGACCACAGCCGAGGAAAGAATCAGTGAGCTGGAAGATCAGCTGCACCAAGTCAACACGCAACAACAAACACTGGAAAAGGACCTCAAAATAGCTCTACAGAGAATCACAGTTCTAGAAGACGATTCCAAAACAAACAACATTAGAATCATTGGACTACCAGAAGCTCAGGGAAACAATCCCAATGAAAAAACTATGCTTAAACAAATCATCGCTGAGAAATTCCCAGAGCTCCACAATACAGCCATTCAGATTCAAGAACCCCGAAGGGTGCCAGCTAAAAGAGACCTGAACCTTCAAGACATATTATAGTTAGAATGATTGATGCTGCCGATAGAGACACAATACTGCAAGCAGCAAGGCAAAAAAGAAAATCACATACAAAGGAGCACCCCTTAGATTCACAGCAGACCTATCAGAGGAAACCCTACAAGCCCGAAGGCAGTGGCGAAATATAGTGAAAAAAACTCACTGAAATGAATGCTTCACCAAGAATACTCTATCCGGCTAAACTCTCACTCAAAATTGAAGGAACGGTACACTATTTTCTAGAGAAACAGCTGCTCAGGAACTTCATAGACTCAAAACCAAACCTAAAACAAGGCCTAAAGGGGCTACTATAAGACAAGACAAACCCTACAATCACAACACATCCTTACAGAAAGATGACACAAAACCCCATAACCATATTCTCTCTCAATGTCAACTGTCTAAATTCACCATTTAAGAGACACAGAGTGGCAAAATGGACAGAACCCAACATTCTGCTGCCTACAAGAAACTCATCTCAATACACAGAGCAAACACAGACTCAAAGTCAAAGGATGGAAAACAATCCTCCAAGCAAACAGCTCCTGCAAAAGAGCTGGGGTGCAGCCATACTAGTATCCGACAACATTAATTTCACTTTGAAAAAGATTAGAAGGGAGAGTGAAGGCTATTTTCTCTTCATCAAGGGAGACGTACAACAGGAAGAAATCACACTCTTAAATGTCTACGCACCTAATGAGGGAACAGCAAAATATTTAAAACAACTGCTAACAGATTTTAAGGAGGACATTGCTAGCAACACAATAGGACTTGGAGACTTCAACATCGCCTTATCACCCCTGGACAGATCAACAAGACCAAAACCCAGCAAGGAATCATTGGCTTTGAAAGAAGAAATAGAAGAGAGAGGGCTTATAGACCTATACAGGGCTTTATACCCCAAAAAGAAAGAATACACATTCTTCTCCAGTGCTCATGGAACATTTTCCAAAATAGACCATGTGCTAGGACACAAAACATACTTCAACAGAATCAGGAAGATAGAAATAGCCATCTTTTCAGACCATGATGCACTGAGGATAGAAGTGAATCTATCACACAGACACGGAGAACCAAATCAAACACCTGGAAATTAAACAACTCAATGCTAAACAACGAGTGGGTCAGGAACAAAGTCAAGGACGAAATCAAAAGATACCTGGAAACAAATGAGAATGAAGACACGAGCTACCAGAACCTATGGGATGCAGTGAAAGCCATATTAAGGGGAAAATTTATAGCTCTGCAAGCATATCTTAGGTCTATAGAAACAATGCACATAAACAACTTGACCTCACAACTCAAGACCTTAGAAAAGGATCAACAGAAAGAGCCTAAATCAGGCAGAAGGAAAAAGATCATAAAACTTAGAGCAGAAATCAATGACATAGAAAGAAACAATCCGAAAGATCAATGAAACCAAAAACTGGTTCTTCGAGAAAATAAACAAGATAGATAAACCACACTAGCAACACTCACAAAGAAACAAAGAGAGAGAGCCCTAATAAATCGAATCAGAAATAAGAATGAGGATATCACAACAGAAACTAAAGAAATCCAAAAGATCATCAGAAACTACTTTGAAAGTCTGTGTGCCACGAAACAAGAGAACGTAGAAGAAATGGACAAATTCCTAGACTCCTATAATCTCACAAAGCTAAATCAAGAAGATCTGGAGTATCTGAATAGACCTATTAACATCAACGAAATCGAAATTGTAATCAAATGTCTTCCCAAAAACAAAAGCCCAGGTCCAGATGGATTCACTAGCGAATTTTTCCAAACATTTAAAGAGGACCTACTGCCAGTCCTTCTCAAGCTTTTCAAGGAATTGAAAAAACGGAAACTCTCCCAAACAGTTTCTATGAAGCCCATATCTCTCTAATACCAAAAGGAAACAAAGACACCACGAGAAAAGAAAACTACAGGCCGATATCCCTAATGAACACGGATGTGAAGATTCTCAACAAAATACTAGCAAATAGAATTCAACTACTCATCAAAAAGATCATACACCATGACCAAGTAGGATTCATCCCGGGGATGCAAGGCTGGTTTAACACTCAGAAATCAATCAACATAATCCACCGTATCAACAAAAGAAAAGATAAAAATCATATGATCATATCAATAGATGCAGAGAAAGCATTTGAGAAGATCCAGCACCCATTTATGATGAAAACCCTATCCAAAATGGGGATTGAGGGGGCTTTCCTCAATATAGTTTAAGCCATCTACCACAAGCCTACAGCAAGCATCGTCTTCAATGGTGAAAAACTGAGAGCTTTCCCTCTAAGATCAGGGACGAGACAAGGATGTCCACTCTCTCCACTGCTGTTCAATATAGTACTGGAAGTATTTGCAATAGCGATTAGGCAAGAAAAAGATAAAAAGATATTGGGGGCAACCAGGAAGGAAAGGAAGAAATCAAGCTCTCACTATTCGCAGATGATATGATACTATACTCAGAGAATCCTAAAACCTCTACCAAGAAACTTCCAGAAACAATAGACTTCTAGTACAGTAAAGTGGCAGGCTATAAATAGACTTCTAGTACAGTAAAGTGGCAGGCTATAAAATCAATACCCAAAAGTCCATGGCTTTCCTATATGCAAATAGTGAAACAGAAGAAAGTGACATGAAGAAAACAATCCCGTTTACAATTGTGCCCCCAGAAAATCAAGTACCCAGGAATCACCTTAAATAAGGAAGTAAAGGACCTGTACAAAGAAAACTACAAAACGCTACTTCAGGAAATAAAAGAGGATACGAGGAAATGGAAAAATATCCCCTGTTCATGGATCGGGAGAATTAACATTATCAAAATGTCAATACTTCCCAAAGCACTGTACAAATTCAACACAATCCCTATTAGGATACCCATGACATTCTTCAAAGAAAAGGAGCAAACGCTCCTGAAATTTATATGAAACAATAAGCCCCCACAAATAGCTGAAGCAATTCTTGGGAAAAAGAAAATGGGAGGAATCAACCTCCCTAACTTCAAACTCTACTACAAGGCAGTAATAATTAAAACAGCATGGTACTGGAACAAAGGCAGAGCTGTAGACCAATGGAACAGGCTTGAATATAATGGCATCTCCCCGCAAGCATAAGAGCATCTAATCTTTGATAAGGGGGCAAGAAAAGTGAAGTGGAGCAAGGAAAGCCTCTTTAACAAATTGTGCTGGCAAAACTGGACGGCTTCCTGCAAAAAAATGGGCTCAGATCTCTGCCTAACCCCATGTACAAAAGTAAGATCTAAGTGGATTAAAGACCTCAACATCAGACCGGAATCCATAAGGTACATTGAGGAAAAAGTTGGCAAAACTTGACATAGAAGCAAAAGGTGTCTTCAAAGATGTCACACCGCTGGACAAGCACGTGAAAACAGAGATAGACAAATGGGACTATCTTAAACTAAGAAGCTTCTGCACCTCAAAAGAAACAGTGACCAAAATACAATGACAGTCTGCAGAATGGGAAAGGATATTCGCCAAATACACATCCAATAAGGGGTTTAATGTTAAGGATATAAAAAGTACTGGTTGAACAGGGGATTGCCCTGCCACAGAGGCAGGGAGGGATGGGGGGATGGGGGTGCGGGGATATTAATCCATGGTGGTGGAAAATGGGCACTGGTGGAGGGATGGGTATCTGATCATTGTATAATCGAAACCCAAGCACAAAAAATTGTAAATCTACAACTGTAAAAAAAAAAAAAGTACTGGTTGAACCCCACAAAAAGAAAACATTCAACGCCATCAAAAAATGGGGAGATGAAATGAATAGAAACTTTCACAAAGAAGAAATCAGAATGGCTAAAAGGCACATGAGAAAATGCTCCACATCATTAATGATCAGGAAGGTGCAGATCAAAACCACAATGAAATATCATTTCACACCACAGAGACTGGCCCATATCCACAAGAACAAAAGCAACCGGTGCTGGCGCGGATGTGGTGAGAAAGGAACACTCCTTCACTGTTGGTGGGAGTGCCGACTGGTTCAGCCCTTTTGGAAAACAGTATGGACGATTCTCAAAAAATTAGAAATTGAGCTCCCATTTGATCCAGCAATACCACACCTGGGAATATATCCCAGAGAGGCAAAAAAGTATAGTCGAAGTGACATCTCCAATTGTTTGTTCATTGCAGCACTCTTTACAATAGCCAGAATCTGGAAAAAACCTGAGTGTCTGAGAACAGATGACTAGTTAAAGAAACTTTGGTACATTTACACAATGGAGTACTATGTAGCTGTTAGAAAAGAAGAAGTCATGAAATTTACATACAAGTGGTACTACATGGAAAGTATCATGTTAAGCAAAATGACTCAGAAAGAGATAGACATAGAAAGATTGCATTCATCTGGGGAACATAAAGTAACAAAATAGGAGACTAACACCCAAGAATGGCCGAGATTAGTACCAGAAATTTTACTCCATGGCTTGGAGGCCAACCACACATGCTAGGGGAAAAGGGAGCTAAGATAGAGAAGGGAGCACTAAATAAAGGGTTTTGGGAGGATCCTCCCAGGATGGGAGAAGCATGCTGAAAGTAGACTATAAACTAACATGATTGTCACCCATTGCCTCTTTTTCAAACCACAACACCTAATAAGAGAGAGAGAACTAAAGGGAATGCCCTGCCACAGAGGCAGGGTGGGATGGGGGGATGGGGGGTAGGAGGGATACTGGGATCCATGGTGGTGGAAAATGGGCACTGGTGGAGGGATGGGTATTTGATCATTGTATAATTGAAACCCAAGCACAAAAATGTGTAAGTCTGCAACTGTACCTCATGAGGTCTCACTATTAAAATAAATAAATAAATTTATATAAAAAAATTGGGAAAAGCTAACTGGGAAGAGGAAACATAAAAGGGAAAGATAGTTAATTAATTACCACACTAGCTCATTCCCCTAACCTTTATGATACAAAAATAAGATACAAATTGAGAAATGTGAATCATGGAGCAAAACACTTTAATTTCTAAACATATCAAGCAATATAGAAAAAATGTATGCCTAGAACAAAAATTGTTGTAAATCAAGAAAATACCTGTATCTAGGACAAATTAAAAAGCAGTTAAATAATGAAATTAAAAAAGAACATAGGTGGGGCTGGAGCAATAGCACAGCGGGTAAGGCCTTGCATTTGGCCGACCCAGGTTCAATTCCCAGCATCCCATAAGATACCCTGAGCACTGCCAGGAGCAATTCCTGAGTGCATGAGCAAGGAGTCAGGAGTAACCCCTGTGCATCACCATGTGTGACCCAAAAAGCAAAATAAATAAATAAATAAAATAAAGGCCATAGGTCAGCATCCTACAACACATATATTTACTATATCTCCTCTCTCATAGTATACCTTTATCTATTAAACAAAACAAATAACTTTTCAAAACCACTTAATGGGGCTGGAGTGATGGCACAGCGGGTAGGGCGTTTGACTTGCATGCGGCCCAACCCGGGTTCGATTCCCAGCATCCCATATGGTCCCCCGAGCATGGCCAGGAGTAATTCCTGGGTGCGTGAGCCAGGAGTGACCCCTGTGCATCACTGGGTGTGACCCAAAAAGCAAAAAACAAAACAAAACAAAAAAACCACTTAATGCTTCTTGACTTTTCAGATAGGGTTAGAGATATGTAATAAACGTACGATGTAATAGATAGGCTGGAAAGTTTCAATTTTTTTCTTGTTCCCCAGCAAAAAGATAGAACTGAGGACAGTCAGCACCATCAAAAATGCTAAGATCCATATAAAGAAAGGAAACTTACTGAGAGCAGATCCAAGCCATCTTCATCCAAATTCTTCACATGGGATGCCAGGCTTCCTGGTTTCCATTTAGGAAATGTATTCTTGTAGTCCTGTAAAGATTCCACTTCAGGCCATACTTCATTATTGGGAGTGCCCAAAGCTCTAAAAGTCATACCAAAATAAAATATTATTATTATTATTATTTTGCATCACACCCGGCAATTCACAGGCTTGGCTCATGAACTCAGGAATTACTCCTGGTGGTACTCGGGGGACCATATGGGATGCTGGGAATCGAACCCGGGTCGGCTGTGTGCAAGGCAAATGCCCTATCTGCTGTACTATGGCTCCAGTCTCCAAAATAAAACATTATTAAAGCACAAGTATAATCTTATAATAGCAAAGTATAAAACAAAATTTAAAAAACCCTAAAAATTCTCAGGCCAGAGAGACAGTACAAAGGTGCTTGCGTAGCATGTATGTAACTATAGCAGTGAGCCTGGTTCAAATCTTAACACTGCATACTGTACCCCACAAGACCCTCCAAAATCACCACGCGTAGCCCCTAAGCTCTGCAGGATAAGATCCCAAAACAAAACAAAAAATTGAAAGGAAAAAAAAAAAGAAAACCTGAAAATTCTGAAGAGCTGATCAATTTCTGAATCTCCATGGAAAAGTGGCTTCTTGGTCGCTAATTCCGCAAATATAGTACCTATGCTCCAAATATCAACAGGAGTTGAGTATCGAGCTGACCCCAACAATACTTCTGGAGATCTGTACCAGAGCGTTACCACCTATGACAAAGCAAGTTTTACATTGAATAAATATACTACACCAAATTATATAAATATTTTTAATTCATTAGAACTGTATTTAGTGTGAACATTCTTGCTAGTATCATTTAAATATCAATACCATTGTTAGAAAAGTAATCTTGTTACTTTTAACAATATTTTGTTAATAACTATTAACAAAAAAAATTTACGAATTAATTAAAAGCAAGATGAAATCAAGTAACTATACACAAAGCACTAAATGCAGAATATTTATTTTACTACTAAGCTGCAATGCTAGCCACTATACCACCAACACCGCTGTTGTATTCAATATGCCAAACACAGTAACAAGTCTCACGATGGAGACCTTACTGGGCCTGCTCGAGCAAATCGATGAACAACGGGGAAGGACAGTGCTACAGTGCTACTAAGCTGCATTCATCATTGATGGGAAGGTTTAGAAACCAGATCCTAACGATTTCAAGTCTTCTTTTTCTTTTTTTTTATCTTGTTTTTCAAATGAGAGGACCAAAACAAGTCAAGACAGCTCTACGTTTCAAAGAAAAATACTCAATGATTATGGATCAAGGTGAAGACAAGGTAACGCTTGCAAGCTAAAACCATAAAAGTCCAAAAATTACAGCATGATCTCTTTTGCTTTATTAAATTTATCACAATGGTAAAAATTATCACCTTTAACTTAAAGTTAATAACATTAGTGCACACCAATGGGAATGAATAATCTAAATGTTTACAGTCCTGAGTAAGTTATTAAAAGCTAAGACTTCTAAACAGATAAGAACTGTTACCATGTTTTGATCTGGAGACAGTCTTTGTGCTTAACAAAAAAACTGTTTTCCAATAATCTCTCTTAAACAATTCAGTAGCACTTCTCTTTTCTCACAGAAATACCAAATGAAATGTCAAGTCACCAATATAACGTGAGCAAAAAAATTATTACATTTAGTAGCTCCTAAACAGGTCTTTAACAGGACCTCTTTTAAGCAGCAAATCAATCTTTTAACCAATCTGATTGTGAATCAAAGGAAGTAATCAAGAGACAGAAAGCACACAGCAATTCACAGGAACGAAGCTGAATATAATGAATTATTAACTCTAACAGGGGATCTGAATAATGAGATTGACTAGTAAGAATTAGAATTCTAAAAACAACGAGCAGCAAGGAGAGCCTTTTCTCAAACAATGCCCTGTAACACCCTCTACTGACAAAGCCCTTGCAAAGGAAAAGCAAAGGGCTTTCCTTATATAGTACGCAGCAAACGATGACTTCGGAACTCAGAGACAATAAATTGACAGTGGCAGAGCAAAATATATTTCAAACTAAATCTCTTTCTAGTCTTAAAGTACAAGCATAGAAGACCAGCCATCACCCATATTCAAAAGCACCATAACCCATTATTTTACATACCTCATGTGTGTATACCCTAATAGGTATTCCAAAAGCTCTGGCAAGACCAAAATCAGCCAGTTTAATGGTTCCTTTGTCATCAATCAATAGATTTTGAGGTTTTAAGTCTCTGTGTAGAACTCTTCTAGAGTGACAAAACACAATCCCTTGTAGGATTTGGTACAAATAACTCTAGAAGAAGGAAATACAGTAAAAACTCAATACAAAATAATATGTTTTGTTTTAAAGATGTATGAAAGTATGGTGCAAGGAAATAATTTAACTACCAAAACACCTTTCAGGACATTCCTAGGCTATATTTGGAGAAGAAACATGTATATGCATTAGCATGTGTGGATACCGGAGACAAAGATATTCATCTTAATAACATATTTATACCCAAGTGAACTCGTTTGCCATTTAGTTTTATCTGTAACTATTTTTTTTGGTCCTTGATTACAGCCCCAGCTTGTTTCTGCATACAAACTTTCTTCAACTTTCATTCTGTATACTTATAGTAACTGTCTTGAATTTCTGTCTTTGAATAAGTTTTTTCCCTCCCCAGTCCTTTCCTTCATCTTTACATATTCATTTCTTCTTTGGTAAGATCAGTAACAGATTCCAAAAGAATGACAAAAGAGGATTATATATTTAAATTGATACAATTATAAAAAAAAAAGTTCTTTCAGAGATTGTTTTGACAAGATAGTCAAGAAAAAAAAGATATTAAAAAACTAAAAAGTATGCCAGTAAAACTGATTTATAAAGTTTAAAATTATAAAGCACATAAATCAACCCATTGGAACTGCCAAGCCATTTGAAAAATTAAGAATTCCAGAATTTACCCAAATATTAACTTTTGATTCATTCAGAATCCAGAAGACAAAAAGGGGAAGAGCTAGTCTACTAAAACAACTAGGAAAAATGTCATTATTATTCTATAGATAACATCTTCAATAAAAAAGAAACAAGACATAAAACCCAGGAGCCAGAGAGTGAGTAGAGGCGGCCCAGTGCCTGCCCCACATGCAACACACTTCAGCTCAATCAGAAACACTACATGTGTTCCCCCAAACACTACCAGGGGTCACTTCTGAGCTCACATTCAGGAATAGCCCCTGAAGACCACTGGGTGTGGCCTAAACAAAACAAAACAAAAACCCTAAGCCCCAAAGTCATAAACAAGACATTAAGCATACTGGAAAAAGTATTAATGGCATATATCATTGTCAAGTGAAAACGTTCCTCCCCCAAAAGGAATGAGACTATTACAGTACCACAAATTATTAATAAGTGAACTTTAGATACGGGTGGGAAAGATTATCTTGGCAAGGAAACATCGTAAAAAATGTACCCAGATTACCATAAATGGCTAAATATAAAAATATATTAAAGGCAAAATGTTAAAAATATTAATATGCCCTCCTCACAAAAAAGACTGATAATATATATTATTGGAGTTTTACACAGGACAACTAACTATAAGAGGTCAAATTGGCTATTATAACTACAGTTATAAGAATTATTCTTGCATTTGAAGACGAATAAGGGTACTTATTTACTGAAACACTATTTACAAGACAATGAAACACCAAGCAACAACTTAAATGTCCATCAATATGAAACTGGTTTAAATAATTACTCAAAAGTAGCCCAACATCATTTTCCATAGAAAAGGGGGAGCTGGGACTGGAATATTCTTAGAAAAATGACAGGGTGGGGGGGTGCGTATGTGTAAGTTCATACACAGATAGTGACATGCAATCATCTGTACAATTGAATTCACATTTGTAATTTAAATGAAAATATAGTGGATGCCAACAATAAATCATCCAAGATACAAAATTACTTCATTTTACCCCACAGCCAAATAAAGAGCAAAATATTCCAGTTTCCAACAATGATTATGGAGGCAAAGGTAATCACACTGAAATCACAGTGCCTTTTTTTTTTAACTGAAGTAAATAATTATATATAGGAAATTATAGCAAAGCACTGTGGTTCACCGAAGTAACTGCTGAGCTAAAGTCAGTGTGATAGCACAGCGGGTAGGGCGTTTGCCTTGCACGTGGCCCACACAGCTGACCCGAGTTGGATTCCTCTGCTCCTCTCGGAGAGCCCGGCAAACTACCCAAGATACAGAGAGTATCTCGCCCACAAGGCAAAGTCTGGCAAGCTCCCTGTGACATATTCGGTATGCCAGAATACAGCAACGAGTCTCACGATGGAGACGTTACTGGGCCCTCTCAAGCAAATCGATGAACAACGGGAGGACAGTGCTACAGTGCTACAGGAAATTAAAAGAAACAAAGAAGTGAGATTTACACATACACAAGAGAAACTGCCCGCAGTCAGGCTGCCGACAACTCCATTTACTAATTTTATGTAGCTTCATATACTCTTTTCACTTTATAACTAAAAGTGCTATCTAGGATTGATCTAGCAACTGATAACAATCTAATCTATGGAGTAACTGTATGAAGAAAATGAAATAGTATTTCCTTCATTGTCTTACTTTTCCTAGCTTATTTACACGCACATAAAAGAGAAGGCAATAAAGTAGAGCCTTTGTACTCACATGGATTAAACACTAACACAAATAAATAAGCTTTTTACCTTAACTAGAGAAGAATCCATGAACTGACCAGGAGGAATAGAATCCAAGTATTTCTTAAGATCCATGGAAAGGAATTCAAAGATGAGATATAACCTGGAATCCTGCATAAGCACATCTTGAAGACTGAAGAAGACAATTACATATTAAAAATACATAACATTTTTCACCTGACAAAATAACTACTTCCTGAAATTGCAGTGGCTATCACATGAAAACTAGGGCATTAGAAATTTTACATACTAAATGAATATTGTATGAAGAAAGAAGAGATGGTAGCTTCCCTAACAGTAAAAACCAGTGCTGGAGCAATAGCACAGTGGGGAGGACATTTGCCTTGCACGCAGCCAACCTGGGTTTCAATCCCTGGCATCCCATGTGGTCCCCCGAGCACCACTGGGAACAGGAGTAATTCCTGTGTGTAGAGCAGGAGTCAATACTGAGCATCACTGGGTATGACCCCAACAAAGAAAAAAAAAAAGAAAGAAAAAGTGAAAACCTTACTAGAAAAAAAGTGAAACCCGAAACTAGAATTGGTAAAAGGATCTCAGAGTAACAACTGAGAAATAAGATATACCAATAGGAGTCACTGCCAGATGATTTACACTACAAAAGAAACTTCTAGAGCCAGGCCAAGGCAATGCAGTCAATTCAAACTAGGTCATTGGCATCCCATAAGGTCCCTGAGCATAGCTAGAAAGGATTCCTAAGCACAGGTGGCTCTTTTGAGTTTGGTCATTTTTAAGCAAATGCAAAGATGAAATTCACATTTTTTCCATGTTCATATTTTTATTTTAAAGTTGTTCACAATAGTTTATTACATTCAATATTCCAACACCAATCCCACCAACATTACAAGTTCCTGCCACGATTATTTCCAATTTTCCCACCACTACCCAAGCCTGCCCCGAAGGCAGATCCTAAATAATTTATTTTGTATTGCTTGTTACAAATAACCCACTGAAAATGATCCAAAAGTTTCCTTAGAGGAAAGTGTGTGAAGATTCAAGTTTGAGGAAGAAAACTCAAATTCAGTTACCCTACCTGACTATGTTTGGATGACGAAGTTCTTTCAATAGAGAAATTTCCCGAATTGCAGTACTAGGAACCCCTTCCTCTTCGCTTTCTAGCCTGATTTTCTTCATGGCTACCACTTGACCTGTCGTTTTGTGTCTGCCCTTATAAACAACTCCATAGGTACCTGAAATAGAAAAAGAAATGCTGCGTGACACCTGCACAAAATTCTTTTTGGAAAAGATTTCAAAATATGACTGAACCCCCCTAGGTAGTATCACATGCTACGAAAATCTACGGGTAGCCAGATAGAAAGTATCTTATTCGTGATACCCTCAAAACTTCTAAAAGTAATACAAAGCCTCATGGACAGGCTACAGCCTAGGGAATTCAAAGCCTTGAAACCAGTCTTATAAGTGTTAAAAGTTTCCTTAAAGGACAGGACAAACTGCTCATGCCTGTGGCATTGAACATGGCACTAACAGTGCATGCAGTTGCTTGCTAGTAAATGATGAAAGGTATGGTTACTTACAGCTTGCTAAGGGATTTTATACATTTTTTTCAATAACAAATTAAAATCGCATTTATATTGATTGTTCTATATCCTACCAGTTTTTGCTATACTCATATATATTTTTTTTTTGCTTTTTGGGTCATACCCGGCGATGCACAGGGGTTACTCCTGGCTAGTGCACTCAGGAATTACTCCTGGCGGTGCTCAGGGACCATATGGGATGCTGGGAATCGAACTTGGGTTGGCCGCGTGCAAGGCAAACGCCCTACCCGCTGTGCTATCACTCCAGCCCCATACTCAGAAATTTTTATTTCAATCTTTCACACAGTAATGCAGACACTATATGCAGAATCTATAATATATTTTCTGATATGAAACAAATATTCCCTTTCTTAAAACACTTCCCATTCATAGGCTTATTCAACTTTTCCTACTTAAATATTCTTAATTCTCTTCACTCTTACTAAATTCTACATTTGTAGGTTTGTCTATTTCATGGAAAGTCTAAAATATTTTTAAAATGAATTTTAAAAGTTTTATGACAAGAAATATATAATTAGACTACATACAAAATAATTTTTTTTAAATGTAGTACTGCTATTTATTCAGTCACTGATTAGCTGACTGAATTGGGCATGAACTCCACCTTACTTTTTTTTTTCATTTTTTATAATTTTATTTATTGAATCACCATGAGAGCAGTTACAAAGTTTTTGGGTTTAAGTCTCTGTCATATGAAACACCCAGACCTTCACCAGTGCCCATTCTCCACCCAACAACCCCAGTATACCCCCATCCCACACCCTTCCCCTACCTGTGGGGCAGATGATTTCCACATTACTCTCTACTTTGATTACATTCAATATTTTGACACCAGACCCACCATTATTATTTGGGATTTTACCCCAACACTCAGATCTGCCAAAAAGGCAGCGGTACACAATTTGTTTTCTATTGCTGGTTATGAATAACATATGACCAAAATAAAATTTAAAGCAATACATTAGAGATGCAAGAGTTGAACTTAGTCATGTAAATGAGATTGGGCAGTAAACTACATTATATTAGATGATCTGAACCTCTTAATTTACATAGAGAATATATAGCAATCAATTATCACAAATTGAAAATTTATTTTCTGACAATTTCTGTTTCCCTTCCTTTTAGTTTTGTTGGAGCAAATAATACATAATACATTTTTTACGTACCTGCCGACGAGGCAGGCTTGGGGGGGAGGAAACTGAGAACGTTGGTGGAGGGAAAAGGACACTGGTGGTGGGACTGGAATATCATATGTCTAAAACAAGTCTATTATGACAACTTTGTAAACCATGGTATCTTAATTTAAAAAAGAAAAAAAAGACTTTCACAGGAAGCTGAGATCAACTACGACCTGCTGTGTCTATACTTTAGAAATGAAATCATGTAGTCATCATCAGTTTCCCACACATTTACATTGCCAGTAATTTTCCAGACCTTTTAAAGAAAACGGATTCTGAGCAAACTGGAATTAACCTCCTGTAAAGTATCCTACTCTACCGTTACCCTATAGTAAACTAGACACAAATTAGCGCAGAAAAGATTTGGAATCGAAAAAGTATTACTTTTGATTTCACTGGGACATGTTTAGAAAAAAAGTTCCTATAGAATGCCAAATACAACGAACAATTTTCTTGTCCAGAGAAATGGGCTTAACTGTAATTAGGAAATCTGATAAAGTTGGCCATTCAGAAGTAGATAAGAACATTCTAGGGAGGTTATTTTACAGCTTTTATCTGTTTCATCATCGGTAGCAATATCTCAGGTTTAAGAGCCCTCAACAAAACTACCTGTCTTAATTAGATGTTAAAGACAAATTGGTCAATTCCTAAAGACTGGTGCTATTTATAAGTCATAAACTGACATAAAATCCAGTGTCTGCAAATTTCTGATTAACTGTGTTTATTTAAGTCTTCATTTTTTCAGATGTAAATCATACTTGCACATATCACAAAAGGTGAGCCAGTAGCACAGGGGTCTGGCACAATATAAAGGCAGACTCAGGATTAGATTCTATTTTGCATAAAGCTCTTGAATGTTCTCAATACATCATCAAATAGTGTAATCACAATCTTTTGTGCAAAAGTACAACATTCCCATTTTCAGAGAGAAAAACAGATCTATGGAAGTTAAAGCTTTATGGCTGGCTGTCCCATTGGTGTTTGAGGACTCAAAAAAAATGAGTGCAAAGTACTACGTCTAAAATTATATTTTTCAGCCGGGAAGACAGTACAGAGAGCTTAGTTCAGGTACTTGCCTTGCACGAAGCCAATATCAGTTCAATCCCCAGCACAACATTCAGTCCCCTGGCACGGCCAAGAGCAAGCCTTGAGAACCACTGGTTGTGACCCCTCTCCCAAAACAAAATAAATTTTAAAAAATAATAAATTATATTTTTAGCCGCTATTTTTTTTAACCGCTTTTGCTATTCCTAATAGCAATCAGAGTACCTTTCTCAAGAGTAAGTTGATACTCCTCTGTATTTTTGGAGTTAAGGTTTTCAAAAGGATTTTTTTTCCCTTTTTCAGAAGGGCTGGAGAGATAGCACAGCAGGTAGGGAGTTTGTCTTGAACAAGGCTGAGCCGTGTTCAATTCCTCCATCCTTCTTGAAGAGCCCGGCAAGATACCAAGAGTACCCCGCCCACACGGCAGAGCCTGGCAAGCTCCCCGTGGCATATTCGATATGCCAAGAACAATAACAAGTCTCACAATGGAGGTTACTGGTGCCCGCTCGAGCAAATCGATGAACAATGGGAGGACATTGCTACAGCGCTATACTAAATAATATATGTCATATACATACATATATGTATGTCCTATACACATGTAGAGGTATAAAGTTCTACTCCTGAAATTCTATATTAAATAGAAGGAAAGTCTTTTTGTTTCAAAGTAAAAACAATACTCATTCAATTCACTTCTAACAGCAATTAGGTAAAAAAGAGAAATTGAAAATAGTGATTCAAATCAAAAATCAAACTAAATTTACAAACAACATATTACGTATAGAATAACCATAAAGATGCTATCAAAAAAAATCCTAGAAACAATAAACCCATACAAATGAAACATCAGGCTACAAAATCAACACAAAGAAATGCAACATTTTTATATGCAAACAATAATATATAAAATTAGGGGGAAAAAATCCCATTATAATTTTGTCTGTCCACCCTGCAAAAATCAAGTATCAGGGAGTCAAGTTAATAAAGTACTATTACAGATTTAGTGCACTCTCCATCAAAGTTCCCATGACATTCATGGAACCAGAACAACACCCCCAAAAGTCGACGCAATTCTGAGGAAAAAAAAAGACAGGAGGAAGTGTATGTCCTGGCTTTAAACTCTATTATAAAACCACAGTAATCAAAACTGTATAGCACTGGCTGGAACAAAGGCACATACTCAAGAGAAATGGATCAGAATGGAGAGCCCTGAAATACAACAACCCACAAATGCATGGAACAGTTCATTTGTTACAAAAGAGCTAAGTGCATTAAGTACCTCTTTGACAAATGGTATTCAAAAAACTGGTTAACCAAATGCAGTAAAATGAAAAGGGACCCCTATCTTACACCATACACAATTCAAGATGGACTAAAGACCATATTAGAGTCAACTTCATAAAACAGATTTTCCATATTATTGACTTCAGTGGCTTCAGACCCCACTGGCAAAGAAGGAAATCACGGTCACGGTCCTCCCGTTATTCATCGATTTGCTCGAGCGGGCCCAGTAACGTCTCCATGGTGAGACTTTGTTGTTACTGTGTTTGGCATATCAAATAGGTCACGGGTAGCTTGCCAGGCTTTGCCGTGCGGGCGAGATACTCTCGGTAGCTTGCCGGGCTCTCCGAGAGGGGCGGAGGAATCGAACTCGGGTCGGCCATGTTGGCCGCTTGCAAGGCAAACGTTCTACCCGCTGTGCTATCGCTCCAGCCCACCGGCAAAGAAGAAAATAGCAAAAATAAATAATGGAAACTACATCAAAATAAATAGCTAAAACAAAGATCCTTAGAAAATAGGAAAACATGTTTTAATACCATACATCTGACAAAGGGTTAATATCCTAGATGTATAAAGCACTCACAAAACTGAAAAACATAAAACTGGGCTGAAGAGATAGAGGGGTACTTCCTCAAAGACCTACAAATGGTAAATAGGCATACAGTACTGACATCATGTACAAATCACAAGACAGCATAATAATGAGAACGACTTATGCCTGGTTTGATTTAAAAAAAAAAATCTATTAACAGATGCTGCAGGGATGCCGTGAAAAATGAACCCAAATTCACTGTTGATGGAACTGTGATCTGGTTACGTCTCCATGGAAAACAGTATAGGGGGTTCTCAAAATACTAAAAGCAACTTCTAATCAGAACAATTCTGTTTCTTGGCATTTATATCAAGAACACACTGTCACTGTCACTGTCACTGTCCTCCCATTGTTCATCGATTTTCTCGAGCAGGCCCAGTAACATTTCCATTGTGAGACTGAACACAACATTAATTAATATATATTATATATGCACATATATATATGGATACCTCTATCACTGCAGTGCGATTTTAATAGCCAAATTAACTTTCTTAGTAAACTCTTTCTGTCACTGTCAGTGTCACTGTCCTCCCGTTGATCATCGATTTGCTCGAGCGGGCCCAGTAACATCTCCATTGGAGACTTTGTTGTTACTGTGTTAGGCATATCGAATACATCACGGGTAACTTGCCAGGCTCTGCCGTGCGGGCAAGATACTCTCGGTAGCTGCATTTTTTTCCTATTTTTCAATAATCCATATACAGTAGACTTTTGAAATACTATACAGAAATATAACTCATACAAAACTCACAAATTGGATTCAGCAAATTATTTTGTAAATTTTAGCAATAATTTAGAATATCAAGACTGACATATAGAAAATGTATTACTGGGGGAAAAAATAGGCTAATTTTTACCCTCATTTATGCCTTGTCTGGCAGTAGCTCAAATAATTCAATGTCCTTTCTCAAAATAGGAAAAAAAAATTCTGCCAATGACGAATTAAAAAAAAGGGCTATTTGAGAATCTACACATCGCTTTCGTTGTTTCATTTAAAGCTACAATTTCTAAAGACCTCAAGAACTAACTAAATACTGGGGCCAGAGCAACAGCACAGCGGGTAGGGTGCTTGTCTGCACTCCGGCAACCCCAGTTCGATCCGTCACCCCATAAGGTCCCCTGAACCCTCCCGGAGTGATCCTTGAGCAGAGCTAGGAGGAAGTCCTGAGTGCAGATGGACAGGGCCCAAAAATCAAAAAGGAGCTAACTAAATATAAACATTCTTGAAACACCTTAATGCAACAAACTGTACGAAAGGAAACTAGAGACTGTGTACAAGTTAACTGGTTTTAGAGTAGATAAACCTGTACACCTGACAGGTGACTTGAACCACGGGAAACTGAATGGAAAATTTATTTAAATTAGCCTAATAATTCTGTAATAGCACAACTATTTTACCAATTTAATAAGTCTAAATTGTCGGGGGCTGGGTAGTACAGCAGCTAGGAAGTTGGCCTTGTACACCATGGCCAGCCCTAAGGTCCCCAGAACCCCACCAGGAGTGATCCCTTAGTGCAGAACCAGAACTAAGACTTGAGCACAGCTGGGTGTGGTCTAAAAACAAACAAACAAACAAATGAAAATTCAAGTTTAAAAGTATATTATCAAATGAACATAATTCTATTGCTGTAACTTCACTCCTCACTCAACTTACCAATAGCACTTACAAAACACAAGATCTGTTTTAAATGGTTAGTGACAAGAATGGAAAGTCACTGTCGGGGCTGGGGAGGGCTGGGTAGAAGAGGATTTGTCAAGGAGTCACAAGAGAATAAAATTCTGGGCCCAGAGCAACAGTGTGTGGCCAAAGGGAGCAGCATGGTTTCAATCCCTTGCACCATACAAGGTCACTGAGTTCTACCCACCCACACCACGAATAATTCCTGAGCACAGTCAGGAGTAAGCCCTAAGCACTTCTGCATGTTATCCAAAAACAAAAACAAACCGAAGAAGAAATAAAACCTCAATATATGAAAATGTATGTTTAATATGTGAAGAATGCGTATAATGAATATACATTAGTACTATGACTAATTAATAAACATTAAGACATCAAAAATCAATAAACATTTGTCTTCGTGATACAGATATGAGCATTGTTGAATTACTCTGAAAACTATTGTCAAACCATTCACCTTCTCCAATTTTCTCTATTTTGGTATAGTCTTCCATTATTATTCAATCACTGGATATGTTAGGTCCTAAAATGAGAGGAAAACATGCAACAAAATTAAAGCATGGTCTTAAACATTAATGATACTACATGCAAACCATATCAGGATTAATTTCATGTCCAAATAAATGAAACAAGAATTACTGTAATATGTGCCCTCTCTTCTGATCTCCTAAAACAGTGGAGATTTTTTGATGTTCTGAAGCAGAACATCGAGCTTCTTCCAATCAGATAATTCTCAAATTCGGGCGTCGACTTATCTATGCTAAGCAAACAAAACTGGAAAGTCTCTTTCTGCACCAATTCTAAGAACTGCCCATCTGAGTCCGAGTTGCTCTCAACTACGGCAGCAAACAGACATCTGACTGGACCTGCACTGCTCTTCACTTTCACAAAGATAATTCAAAAGCGATTTTAAAACCACGAGTGAAGTCGGCTGTGTCGACACGATTCACCTACTCCCCAAGTAGGAGTGACTAAAGCAGCGAAGTTATTTATAAGTGATCAGAATTGTTTCAATGTAGCTCCTCTTTTTGCAAGACCCAGCCTTCCAGGAGGCTTCGCTGGGCATAGAAATGTCACCGCCAAAGTGCAACTGCGCAACTCTGAGTCGCTGGTCCTGCGTTCTGTTCCCCCTGCTCGTCCTTCCAGCTGGAGACCCTCGTGCAGTTTCAAATAAAGAGAGCTACCCTACACTGCCGTGCGTGAAAGTCCTAAATGCATCTCCTTTTAGGGGACGGTCATCAAGGAAGGGACGGTCACCCTCTAATCATCCTTTAGGGGCGCGAAACCTCCGGTAGGGGCCAAGACCCCTAGGGCACAGGCGTGTGCTCGCTACCAATGCTCGAAGCCCGAATTTCCCAAGTCGGACTCCGTGGCCTCTTCCATCTTCCAGGCCGCCGCGGTGCCCCCGAGTGCCCGGGCTGCGGGTGTCCGGCACCCACGACCCCCCAAGACCCCCGGCCCCTCGTGCAGCCACAACCCGGGCCCTGAGCCGATCGAGTGGGCGCCCGCGCTCGCCCGGGTTTCCGCGCCCCCCGCTTCCTCCCGCCCGGCTCCAGGCGGACCCAGAGGAGCGCGGGCCTCGCGCGCCCCCCGGGCGGCCGGGGCGGGGACCGGACACACTCGGGCCCGACCCCTGCGAGGCAAAGCCCCGCCGCCGAGTCGCGCCCCGGGCGAGGCGAAGACCCACCCCGGGGTCGGCGCGCCGGCAGTGGCCGCGGGGGCTCCCAGACGGCCCGGGTCGCGGGGCTCGCCGGGGGTCCGGCCGGCCCTGGCGGCGGCGGCGGCGGCGGCGGCGGTGTCGCCGCGGCGGGGCGCAGGGACCCCCGCGCCGGGCTCCGGCCAGGCAGGGCCGCGCCCCCGAGGCGCCCCCCGAGTCGGACCCCTCCGGGCCCGGCTCTCCCGCGGCGGCCCGGCCCGGCCCGGCCCCACGCACCCTGGGCCGGCTCCTCGGGCCGACCCCCGCCCGCAGGCCCGGCCCGGCCCGGCCCGACGCCCGCAGGCGCGACCCTCGCCCGGCGTGCCCTACCTGCGGGGAGCGCGGCGAGAGCGGGACGGCCACACGTCAGCGTCGCGCTCGGCGCGGCGTCCCAGAACGAGGCCTGAACCCGAGTGCCAGCAGTTTCAAACTCGCCGCGCCGAAGGGGCCCCGGGCCGCCAATCGCGGCGCTCGTAGACGTTCAAAGGAGCCAATCGGAGCGCCGCTGCGCGCGGGCGGGGCTTCCCGGGGAGCGGGCGCGCGAAAGAGGGAGGAAACGGCGGCTGGAGAGAAGGCAGGCGGGCGGGCGCCGACTGAGCTGCCGCGCAGGCGCAGGCGCAGGGGTTCCTCCCGCAGTCGTCCTATTGTTTCTAGTCCTCGGCAGCCTGCCGTTCTCGGTCGGTGCGGTTCGCTCTCATCATCGGGACAATTTTATCGGATTCCAATGACTCACAACAGTGACACTTACACTCGCACCCATGTTCTATTGCTTTCGCTCCTAACACTCAAGTCTAATCTATTTCCAAGTGGGTAATTTCCGTATCTCATGGCAGGATCTCATTTTTGTTATTTTTTAAAGAGACCATGGGAAACTCAGTCTTCAATAACACAGATTTTAAATTTTCAATTAAACAACACGTGTTTTTTAGTACGTCATAAGTTGTTCTTGATTTATTTTTAAATTTCATTTATGGGGGCTGGAGTGATAGCACAGCGGGTAGGGTGTTTGCCTTGCACGCGGCCAACGTGGGTTTGGTCCCCAGTATCCCTGAGCACCGCCAGGAGTAATTCCTGAGCCCAGGCAGAGCCGGGAATAAACCCTGTGCATCGCAGGGTGTGACCCAAAAAGAAAAAAAGTTCACTTGTTTTTTTCTTTTTTCTTTTAGTTTAATCACCATGAGATACTCAGTTACAAGGTTGTTCATGATTGGGTTTCAGTCTTAGGATGCTATCATGAGCATCCCTTCCCCAATATGCATTTCCCACCCACCACCAATGTCCCCAGTTTCCCTCCAGTCACCATTTAAAGGTGCTCTTTAAACCACAAAATTTTATAAAATGCGGCCAGAAATGTGACCAGTGTTAGAGCATGTGCCTTATATGTGGAATTCCTTGCCCACCCCTACCCCCCTGACAAGCCATCCACGCCCAGCAACATTGGGTGTGGCCCTGGTCCTTCTTATTACCTCAAAGCACCTCCTCTTTCTACTCTAGCGTGTCTACATATGGACAACACAACAACAAAGCAAAGGGTGTTTGCCTTGAAGCGACCAACCTGGCCGAGCGGAGTCCCGATTCCTCCCGCCCTCTCCGAGAGCCCAGCAAGCTACCGAGAGTCTCTTGCCCAAACGGCAAAGCCTGGCAAGTTACCCGTGAAGGATTCCGTATGCCAAACACAGTAACAACAAGTCTCATGATGGAGATGTTACTGGGCGCACTCGTGAAAATCGATGAACAGTGGGAGGACAGTGACAGTGAAGAAGAAATTGAGATCTAAGTTAGTCAAACACTGAATTATTCGAGTAATCTGCTATCAGAAATGTTTAATTGGGGGCTGGAGCAATAGCACAACAGATAGAGCATTTGCCTTGCACAATATAGAGCACAGAGCCAGGAGTAAACACTGTGCATCGCCGGGTGTAACCCAAAAAAAAGGGGGGGAAAATTTATACTGTTTCAACAAACCAGAAGACAAATAATTTACCTGTATGGGTTAATAAAAGGCATGAACCCCCCAAAAAAATGTTTAATTGCATGTCATGATTTCCTTAAAGAGGGATTTCTAGAAAAAAAATACAGAGATATCTGCATTTGAATATCTTTTTTTAAAAAAACTAGAATTGTTTGATATCATTGCATTATTCTATGTTATATAGTTAAAACATACAATGCATGTGGTTTTGATGTCCTGCTTTTACTTTATGCGGCATTAGCTTTGTATGTTGGGAATATCTAATTGCCAGTTTGAATACCCATCTATTATTCTTTCCCACTGTAATTTTATTACTATTGAGGTAGTAATTATAATAGTGTTCATGTTTGTGCTTCTGGTGCAAGGTTGCTGAGGCTCCAGTACCAACAAAATGCCTAAAAACACGCGCCATTGTCCTAGTCTCTGTCCTCCCTCCTTTTCAACCCCCACCTTGGTAACCTCCGTTCTGTTGTCAGAGTCCCAGGTGTGTTTTCATTGACTACTTTGCATTCCTTTTCTTTGTTCCTTTATTTACCATATATGAGTGAGATCATATGGCATTTGTCCTAGTTCTTTGGGCCAGCTTGCTGAAACACAAAACAAATATTGATTGCCATGATTCTTAAAAATACATATCAAAATAACCAGATTAAGGTAAGAAATATAACTAGTATAAGACACGAGTTTCACTATTTAAATGGTTTTTTTAACGCCACGCGTAACTTCTACCCTTAACCCTCTGTGTGCACAAACACTCAAACTTGACAATTTTAAGCTCCCAGGTGATAAAGGCAGAACATCAGGAATCATGGCAGAGGTTGATGATTATGAAATCCAAGTCTGAACCTAATAGGATTTAAAACTTAAAATTCCAAATTCTGGATCCAGGGATGGGGCTCAGTGGAAGGGTGTCTCCCTTGTATTCACTTTATCTTATGTTATTTTATAATTTCAGTCCTGACATTGAGTTGTGTTGAAGCATACAGCACAGACGCACAATGATGCTGCACTTAACCACTAACCACCATTGTCTATGTCATCTCTAGACTGTTCTTGACATTTGTACTTTCCATTGCTCCCCTCACTGCTTGATGAATGGTTTTGCAATCTACTACCTTGCACTTAGGGAACCTAAAGTTGGGCTTTTCCACATCACCCTATGTACTTGATCCACAACCACAACAGTGTTCCATCTCTAATTGACATAAAATACCATGAACTGATAGGTCAGCACCCCTGCAAGTACCCCAACCAAGAACCCAAGCACAAGTGTGGGACTCCAGTTACAGTAACAATAATAAAGGAAAGGGAAGAGGGTGAAATAAGATATCTTAAAAATAAAATGAAATCCCAAATTAAATATATTAATTATACATCTTGATTAAGATATGTACCTCACAATAGACCATGGTGGTTAGCTCCTTTCTGGTGATTATGATGTGGAAACATTCTTTACTGGCGCCCGCTTGAGCAAATCAGTGAACAGCGGGACGACAGTGCTACTGTGACAGTGTTACTGTCAAAATTAAATTCACCAAATACTTGAGTGTCTCCCTGTTCTCCCTATTTTCCTGGCAGATTAACGGCAATGGTGCTAGTGATGTGTGTGTGTGTGTGTGTGTGTGTGTGTGTGTGTGTGTCTTGGGAAGGGTTCCTACTAAAGATACAAAGAAAATTTGCTCTTCTCTTATGCTAATTAGTCAAGTTAGCTGTTGTGTTAGTCAAGTTAGCTGATGTGTTAGACCAAGCACTATGAGTGGATGTCACATTCAGAGAAGACCGAGAAAGAGGGCATCCGGGGTTATGACTCCATAGTAGAACAAATGTCTTGCACATGTGAGAGTCTAG